TGGTTTCCAGCAGCAGCACATCCAGATATATTTGTTCTTATAGTGTATAATCTTGTATAGAGTTCTCTAAATCACACTCTCACCCTTCGGGCTGATGCCAACATTTTTCTTCCCCGATGCAAACAAGGACGAGGTGGAAGTAAAACCAATCCTCGGTGCTAAATGCTCGTTGATCTAATTTCCACAATCAAAACCAGAAAAGCAATTCAGTGTGTGGTTTCATATTGCTCTGATGAGAGACCAAAGATTGATGACGGGGATGTTTGTCGACTTTCTAATTGATTTTCCAATGAGGTTATAAAACATTCTCAAGGTTCACGGGAGGAGGGAAGAATGGCTTTCAGGTGGAAGAAAAATCATCAGCTTCAAAAGGGTAGTGAGGACGAGAGGCAGTCGTTACGGCCCTGGATAATTTGTCTTTTCATCCCATCTTGTTTGTGTCTTCTCCTTTATCTTCCAGAGTGTTCTGAGTGCAGAGGCTGAGCAGTCGCTGCCAGGCCAGGCGGGGTCACTGCCGTGCACACGAGGGTTTACACAGGAGGAATACTTCATCCAAACTGACCCAGAGTTGAAAAAGGGACAGGCTGTCTTCAACAGTGAGTCCACACACACACACACACACACACACAGTTGGAGCAGGAACAGCTCCAGTAATAATCTCCTGCTGTTGGGTGTGGATTGTTCTAGAGTCCTGCTGGTGTCTGAGACTGGATGAAGCCGTGGAGTCAGATTAGACTCCAGGTCCCAGTCGTTGCTGTCTTTCTGTCCAGTCTCTCTCTTTACTCAATAATGAACTCCTTCTTATTATTTTCTAAACCGTGTCTGGAAGCTTGATCAGGTGAAGGGGTTGAAACTGCAATAATTCCGAGGATTTATCAGATTATTTATGTTTAACCTCATGTTGAGATGCCACATCCTGGCAGTTCACCAGAGGAACGTGTGGAAGACATCCTATCACTGAAGGATTTCCACGCCCAGGATATAAAAGTAATAAAATATCACCATAATACAGGAGTATTACTTCACTCCATCATTACAGCACATCTGACACATTTGTCTTTTTCTTCTTCTTCTTCTTCTTCTCCCCCCACGCTCTGCCCTTTCCTTCTTACCTCCCTGCCTCATTTTCGACTTCTCACCCCAACTGGTCGAGGCAGGTGGCTGCAAATTTGAGCGCGCTTCCGTCCCAGATTTCTCCTCATAATAAGGGCATTTTCTCTCAGCTGATGCCAACTGATTGCTCAT